ACACACACACATAAATGATTAAATCTTTTAAGAAATTCAGATGAGGGACTAGAGAGATGGCTAAGCAGTTAAAAACACTGGCTGCTCTTGCAGAGGACCTGGGTTTGGTTCCTAGCACCCACATCTGTAACTCCAGTTCAAGGGGCTCCAATATCTTCTTCTGACCTCTGTGGGCATTGCACAACAAGGGTGCACTTAAATACATGCAGGCAAAACACTCATACACATAAAATAAAAATAATTTTTTAAAATTCAGATGAATACTTGCATAGGACTTCTGTGGAAAATAGAGTGAAGACCTCATTAAAACTGTATTTATGGGCCAGGCGTGGTGATGCACGCCTTTAATCCCAGCACTTGGGAGGCAGAGGCAGGCGTATCTCTGTGAGTTCAAGGCCAGTCTGGTCTACATAGTGAGTTCCAGGACAGCTGGGCTACAGAGAGACCCTGTCTCAAAAAGACCAAACAAAACAAAACTGTATTTATAATAAGACATTGACAGAAAATATATCACAAGGCAGAAAATGATACATGCTAAAGGGGAGTGTTTCCTCGGGTCAGGGAGAGTATTTGCATAAAATTAATGTTTGAGTTTTGTTTTGTTTTTCTATTTGTGTGCATGTGTGGCATACATGCTTGCTTGTGTGTGGGCACATGTGTATGTCAGCACACGTGTTTGGGTGTGTGCATACACAAGTGTGGAGGCTCGAAGTCGACACCAGGTGACTTCCTCAATCACTCTCTTATTTATTAAGTTAGGGTGACTTGCTGCATCCAGAACTTGCAGATTCTGGCTAGTGCAGCTACCCAGCTTGCTCCAGGGATGTTGTTGTTCCTTCTGGAGTGCTGAGATTATAGGTGGCTTCCAGAACTGCCTGGCTTCTTTACATGGGTTCTGGGAATCCAACCTGTTTTCACACTTCATGGCAAGCATCATATCTAGAACCACCCCACAGCTCCTTGTTTCCTATTTATAAAGAAGTTATGAAATTCTAAAGGGCTCATAAGCAGAAGTAACTCCATTAATGAGTGACATCTTTTTTCCTTATGTATTTTTTAGTAAATATATACTATCTCTTTTCAGGCTATAAAACATAATAATACATTTTTGGCTTAGTGCAATTTACCTCTATTTACAATTGGTTCTACAGTACGTACAAGTGTTTCATATTTGATTAAATCGTAATATATTTGAATACAATAGCAATGAATTTTCAGGGATCTTGTTGAAGGAGGCTGACCAGAAAACCTGAATGATTTGTGTGCAGGTATGCATGTATGCATGTGCACATGTATGTGGAGGCCCAAGGTGGATGCTAGGATCTTCCACATTTTCCTTTGAGGCAGGGTCTTTCAATCAAATCCACGTCTTGCTGATCTGACAGGGCTCTTTAGCAAGCCAGCTTTCTCTGGGGATTCCCAGTCTCCACTGTCTGAGGCTAGCATCACAAATGAGCTGCCAAGCAAGCACAACATTTACATGGTTCAAGTGATCTGAACTCCAGTCCTCTTGTTTAAGTGGCAAACTGCTTTAACTGCTATGCCATCTCCCAAGCCCTGAATGATTTTCGTATGTGCGTTCTGTATGCCTGTGTTCATGTGGGTGTGGGTGAAGATGCACACGAACATATGTGCATGTGGAGGCCAGAAGTCAGTATCTGGTGTCTTCCTGGATTGCTTCTTTACCTTACTTTTTGAGACAGGGTCTCTGACTGAATCTGGAGCTTACTGATTAGGGTAGGCTGGCTTGCCAATGAACTCTAGGAAATCATCTGTCTCCACACCCCCAGCAGTAGGTATATAGATGCTGGATGCTGTCCTGGCTTTTATATGGGTACTAGGGATCTACGCTCAGATCCTCATGATTGTGCAGCAAGCACTTTGCCACCTGAGCCATCGCCCAGCCTCCTGATTTTACTTTTTAGCATTTGTTGTTAGCTAGCTTTCATTACAGTAACCAATACCTGTGATAATAAGAGAAAAAAGGTTTATTTTGACACAAAGTTTTGGAGGCTTTTTGCCATAGTCAGACAGACACATTTCTTCTGGATATCTTCCCTTTGCTTGTGGCAAGGTGATATCTTGGTGGGGAGTATGTAGTGAAGCAAGCTGCTGACCTCATAGTAGATAGGAAGCAGAAAGAAGTAAAGTGGCAGCTCCAGTGCCCTAGGGCCTCCTATGAGGCTCCCAACAGTGCCAGGCTGAGGGCCAAGCCTTTCAAACATGAACCTTTAGGGAACAATTCAGATCCAAACTATCCCATTTTATTACATTTTCTGGGGAAATTTCTGGGGCAAAATCCTCCATTGTTTTTTGTGAAAACTAATGACTCACTTTTTGTAACTTGAGGATTTATTTTAAGGATGATGGCACATTATAAAGGGTTCTGGCCATATAACACATACTATCCATGGCATTGCATTGTTCTGGAGAGTGAATCTGCCTATCTGGGGGGACCTAGAGGCATACCTTATATACACTCTGACTTGAATCAAAAGAGATGCCTTTATATTCTAAACTCTAAAGCTATTAAATCATAATGTACTCTTTAAGCAATTACTTAAATAACTTCACTGTTTTCCTGAGAACTAAGTATGAATTTTTGTAATTATATACAGATATTCCTTAAAGATTTTCCAAGTGTTAAAAAAGTTTGCAAATCAAGTATTTTCTGGAAAGTATCTGAACGCATACACATATAGTATGCTGCCAGATCTTAGTAGTGGTTAACTTAGCTCCCTGTCTTCTAAGAAATACTTCTAAATCCTCTAGGCTGGGTTAAAATCTCTGTGTATTCCTTCAGTCTGCATTATAGTGAAATTGTCTCACTATATCATATGCTTTGTCGGAAAGCCTGCCATAGTCAGCTTTATGTGCCCAGTGTCATGATAAGTAGTTTAAACAAAGGCATTTATCTGAATTAAACACATTACTAAATGAAAGAACATGAGTACTATGCTCTTTTTTAGAGTTTAGAAGTTGGTCCAGAGGGTTGTTAGTAGAGTTTTGCTCTGTTGCTCCCACTGCCCTCCTGCTGAAGTTTTAAGCTCCTTCCCTCAGCCTCTTGAGTAGCTAGAACTGCTGGAGATGTGGCTCAGTGGCCAAGAACTTGCCTAACATGCCCAAGGGCCTGGACACAATCCCCAGTATTGCAACTAACAGTAGAATGCATGAACTCTGAAGGTAAGCACCTATTAGTGTCATGATCTGTGAGTTTCAGATGTGTTTGTGGTTGGGGCTGGACTGTGAGCTCTTTTTGGGCAGAAGCCATGGGATCCATGTTCATTTCCTAGGCTAGGAACTTGGTGCTGCCACAAAGCAGGCAACTTGGTAAGCTTTTGACGTTTCTGACTGGGTGCTGGGGCAGGGGCTGAAACAAATTCCAAATCCCTAAAGAAAAATCACGGGGAGCCATCAGCCCTTCCCTTGAAGCTCTAATCAGTGTGTGCTATTCACAGGGCTTGGAGCATTTCTCATTTTGACCTCTCAGAAATCCCTTTTCTCGGGTATAATTTTCTTCAGTGGTGTAGTCACTGATAAGTAGCCCAGGTGCCGGTAAAACACCCACACCCACGTCCACACACTCATGACCACACACACACTCATGATCACACTCTCGCAAAGCAACCATAATTTAAGTGCGTTTTAAAAAAGGACATAAAAGTAGGGGGGGGGAGCTTGTTGGGAAGGATTTTCGGCAGGACAGGGGGATAGGCGAGAGTAACCGGTGGTGAAAACGCAGAAAACTCAGTACATACGTATGAAATTGTCAAATGATAATTTTTTTTGGCTAAAAGAAAAAAGAAATCCCCGTTTCTCCCCCAGTGGTTTGTAGTTTTTGAATGACAGATAAATCCTGATGGGGGTTTACTTCAGTGTACCTAATTTCCACGCTCTTTTATTTTAAAATTTGATTCACACGGCCCATGAAGCGCACACTGCACTAATCTTGACGCATGCATATACCTATCTACCACCAGATCAAGAAAAAGCACGTTTCCAGCGCCCCTGGCACCCTTGCCCTGGGAACGCGCCGCACCTCCGGAGCGGTGCTCCAGCAACCTCTCTCCCGGTCCCTGCGACCGGGCATGAGACTGGCTAGGCCGGCGGTCTCGCGGCGGGGATGGGACTCCGGCCCGTGGGCCCCTCGCGAGGTTCCCGGGATGCACCCACGTCGGCCGACCACAATGGCTACCTGGCCGGGTGCCACGCGCGCCGTGTGATTCCCCACTTTTTGCGTGGGCTCAGTCCGGCGCCTGGCAGCCGGGCGTGGCCCCGGGGGCAACCCGTCAGAACGCCGGCGGCCGTGGGCGGTGCTAAAGAGCCGCGATGTGGGGCACGCGCCCATTGGCTGAGCTCCTCCCCGACGCCCAGGGCGCCCACCTCTCCGCGCCCCCATTGGCCGCCCGCACCCGGCGTTCCCGCCCCGCGGCTGCCCCTGGAAAGCTGGTCTGGGGGTGGGAGGCTCGGAGAAGAGAGGAGGGTGAGCGGTCCACCCGGGAAGGGTGTGCATGAGAGCCAATCAGGACCTGACGTGGAAAAGAGGCGCCGTGCCAGCCATTCCCGTCTCGAGGGGCAGTCGGGGTCCGTGACGTCAGCGCAGCCGCAGCCAATGGGCGTGCCGCTGTCCGTCCGCTCTTCAGCAGCCGGTCGGGGGCGTTGAAAAGGGAGTGAGGAGAGCGCGACGGCGGCGCAGCCATCGCTGAGGGGAAAGCGAGGCCCGGGCTTCCGCGTCGAGGTGAGAGGCGGAGGTGCTGTCGCAGGCCGGGCCGCGGGCCCCTCCTCGCCCGTTCGCCGCGGCTGCCGAGCCCGGGGCGCCGAGGTGGGGCCTCCGAGCCGCCCCGCCTCCGCCCCGCCGCGGCCGCTCGGAGGCGGGGGTGCCGCCTCAAGCCGGGACTGTGCCTGCGGCTGCGTAGCCGGGACCGCCGCCCTCCCGACCGCCGGCTGGGCGACGGGGAAGCGGGGAGGGCGCTGGGCCTGCAGCTCCAGGAGGCGGGGGAGCGGCGGGAGGCCGCGCCGAGAGCCGGAGAGTTAACGGAGGAGGGAGGGCGGGGGCCGGAGTAGGCCTGCGATTGAGAGATTCCGGTCTGAGGAGGAAGAAAGTGATGGGCAAGGAGTGATGCTCCGGGGCTTGCAGGGAGGCGGCGTGCAACGGGGTGGCGACGGCGGCAGGTTGGGGTGTGAAGGTTAAGGACAGGTGGGGACAGTGCATGTGGATGAGGTCTTCCGCAGACCCGGAAGGTAGCCTCGGAGGCGTGGATGCAGGCTGGTGGACCAGAAGTCGTTATTTGGCTTCTTGGGACGTGGACAGGGCGGAATGGAGGTGGGTTTCCGGATGCTTGCTGGAGGCTGGGGATCTGGGCGGACGCTGGGGTGAGGAGGCAATGTCTCAGGAGTGGCAGGTCGGTGCACCCCCTGCTCGCGAAGGGCAGAGCCTGGTCAACTCCTCATCCTGCCTCCCCTCGCTTACCCCATCCCCACGTCCATCCAGATGAGTGCTTTGCCTCAGTTCACACAGACTTGCCCTCTCAGAAGTAATGGGTGTTAAGTATTGTTTGCTTTTGATGGGATGACTAGAAGGAAACGTTTAGTTGTCGACACTGAAAAAGTGTTAAGAGCGTCTTGAAGATACCCGGAAAATCTGCCCTACAGGGGAGTTTCTCAATTATCTTACTGGGCGTGTGTAAGACAGCATAAAAATGTCGCAAGATCTCTTACATACAGTAAGGAAAATGAGAATTAATGTGTGAGTACAGTCAGGCTGTCTCGATGAGCAATGTTTTTAATGCAGTGGAATTTGATTATGCATTGTTTATTGCGCAGTTGCTTTCAATTTTCAGAAGAGTGTTGTAGTTAAACTAAAAATCTTTGCACTTAAAGGCTGTCATTGCCATTCTGTTTGAAGCTGTTATGTTTTTTATTTGGAGGGTTGCAGGCAGGAGTAGGGGGCAGTGAAAAGGTGACCACATTTCTAGTGGATTTAAATGGGAAGGATGGGACTGGAGAGATGGCTCAGTGGTTAGGAGCACTCGCTGCACTCGCAGAGGACCTGGGTTCAGCTCCCAGAACTAACCTGCAAATCATAACTGCCTGCAACTCCAGTCCCAAGGGATCTGAGCTGCTTTGGGTACCAGGCACCCTGGTGGTGCACATACATACTTCAGGCAAAACATACATAAAAAAATAACATCAAATCTTTAAAACGATACAATAAGTGGGAAGGATAATTTCTGCTTGAGGATAGGACAGAAGGACTGTGAAGAGATACAGTGTTAAGGACAAAAACCAAGAGAGCAGCTGTGTAGATATGTTCACCAGATCAGCATAGAATTGCAACTAACAGATCATTCTTTAGGCTAGAGAAGCAACTTTCTAGAAGTTATTGGTTGGTAGCACATCCACATTTACTGTGATCACATTTTGCCCTAAGTGTAGCAGAACAGCCAAATGCTGAGTTCCTTCTGAGCAGAGAAGCAACCCGAGCAATGTAGAGTTAATCAGGGAGTTTCATGGGAAAGGTGAGTTTTGAGCCATCATTTGCACACAGAGTTGGTATATGAGTTATCAGTTGACACACGAATGATTACAGTCCAGTGGTTTGGAAGAAGTATAAGCAAGTATGGAATATATATATATATATAATATATAAGGAACATTTAGGGATGTGGCACTTAGCTAAGCCTCTAATTGCAGCTTAGTTGATAAATGATGGTTCTGTGAAGGAAAGAACTAGAGCAGTTGATGGATTGACAATAGGCAGTGACATAAAGTGTGCAAAAATAGTTTTTGATAGTTAAGAGAATTTAGTGAAAATAAATTGTCATTGACAGGTAGATTTACTGGTCAACCATAGACAATACTCAGATATATTTTTGAGCCTCACACTAGATTATATTGATGGAAATAGCAAAATTGATTGTATACTATTTTGTGCCAGACACTATTTTTAGCTTTCAAAGTAAGATCTTTGATTATATTTTATAGGTGAGGGATCAGAGTCCAGACAGATTAACTTGCCTAAGGTCACAGGAGCTGTTAAATGGCCAGTCAAGACTGGCGGAATCAGACATGACATGCTGATCGAGTCTTCTGCCAGGCACTGGTAAATGCTGGGGATTCATAGTTGAAAATGTAAAGGTCAGACCTGAGCCTGTTGTAGAAGAGACTTACCTGTTAAAAAAGGAAAGCTAGTAAAGAAAGAAAAAGATTACTTGGAAAGAGTTTTGTAGCTACTGAAGAGTATGCTGTTTAGAGAAACTTAGGACTGAGTTTTAAGAAAGTGATTGACAACAAAACATGTTATTTTATTTTTAAAAATATTTTATTATTTTTATTTTATGTGTATGAGTGTATTGACTGCATGTATGTAAGTGCATCTGTGTTGTGCAGAGCCCGCAGAGGTCAGAAGAGGGTGTCAAATTTCCCTGTAACTGGACAGTTACTAGCTGCCAAGTGTGTGCTGGGAACTGAACCCAGATCCTCAGCAAGAGCAGCCAGTGCTCTTAACTGGTGAGCCATTGCTCCAGCTTAACAAAACATTTTAAACCTAGAAACCCAGAAGAACAAAGATTGAAAAGAAACCACTGAGCTAAAGAAGGAAAAAAGAAATGTGAACTTAGTCTCAAGAGTGCTGAAAGGAATTTATGGACTGGTAATCATACTTAGTGGCAAGTACTCAAATTTAAGTATTTGCTGTGATCACAGTTATGGTCATATTCATGATTGTACGCTTATTTTCCCAATTAAAAAATGAGCACTGTTATTTTTATAATTTAGGGATAAAGCCCATTCAACAGAAATGGAGTAATAGGGAATATAGTTCTGAGCTTGAGGTGAGAGAAAGAGGGTCTTACTTCAGTACCTACTTGATGTGGCTACGTTGGTAGGCCTGTTCTTGTGTTGGAAATGACTAGGGTTTTGGTGCAAATGGAAACTATTTACTGAAAGATAGTGTTTGCTTAATCTGAAGAATTAGGTTATTAAAACACCCTGAATTTTAGAGATAGGGTCTTGACCTTTGAGCATTTGTTTTCTTAGAGTTTAATAAGTGGACTTCAGGTTAAAAGAAAACCATGAACCACTCATAGAATTGAGTGATTTTAACTGTTTCTTTTGGCCTTGTATCCTTCCTTCTTCTCACACATTGTTTTTGTAGTTCCTCTCTTTGATGGGTTTGATGTGGACTTGGAGTTTCAGTTCAGTAAACAGTAGAAAGTGCTGTATTTATGTTTAACTGATGGACTTAATAATTAAAAATTCACTATTGGGACTAGGAAAGTGACTCCGTTGATAAGTTCTGAGTTTGTATCCCCAGTAACCATATAAAGACTGGTCACAGCAGTGCATACCTGTAATTTCAACGCTCAGGAGTGGAGACAGGAGGGTCCCTGGGGCTTGCTGGCCAGCTACTAGCTGAATCAGAGACTTGTCTCAAAGAATATGGTAAAGCAATTGGTAAAGTCAGTCTCTGGGCTCCACATGCACATAGCACAAACACATGCATCCTTAAACATGTATACCACACACACAACATTTCAGTACTCTTAGGTTTCCACTTCTAAGGGAAACATCAAGAAAATTGCTTTTTGTTTCTATGTTTACCAAGTAATTATTCCCAAACAAACTGGTAGTATTTACCTGAGGATCAGTACAGACTGAGATCAATCTCAGATGAAGAGGGAGAGAAATGTTTATAAGTTAGTCTAGTGTTAAATTTCATTTGGCCTACAGAGATAATGGAATAAAGTTACTGTGATTTCTGTTTCATCAACAATGTACTGTATTCCTTAAGTAAATGATCACATTTACCTCTTATTTGTTGTGTGTTCCATTTTACAGATGAGTAGAATGGGGCTCAGAGAATAGTAACTTTCTTAAAGTTGGAGAACTAAGTGGCAGAGCTAGGACTCAGACCTTATTTTGGCAGGGCACGGTGTCACATGCTTGTAATCCATGCCTGTAATCCCTCTGGGGAGGCAGAGGCAGGAGGATCCTGAGTTTGAGTCCAACTTAGGCTATGTAGTAAAACTTTGACTTGGGACAGGAAGAGGGGAGTAAAACCTAGCTTTGTCTCCAGAACTCATGTATATGAGAATGACTCATATGTTAATATCTACAATCTGAAGAGATGCTGCGCATAGCCTTGAGTGTTTAATAGCTGTTTGGTACCTAAGAAGAAGGAACTTTTGCTTCAGGAGTTTGTGACCTATGGTACTGCTCCTAAATAAGTGGTAGTCCATTTTCTTGTTTTAGATAGGCATGTTTCCACATTAACCTTTCTAAAATGAAGGTATTTTTATAGTATCTCTTTTGAAATGTTAGACGTGGATACTGTGTCTTAAGTCAAATGTGTTTTAGGATTGAGGAAGTGTGGTAGATGTATAGTTTTCATGTATTTGAATTTATTATATTCATTTTCTTCCTACTCTCCCCTTTTTATTTATCCTGTTACCCTCTTTTAAATTATGGTGCAGTAGCTTATTCTGTTTAGTTAATTTAGTATAGGAAAAAGGTGCCATGATGTAGAAAATTAACATTGAACTGTGAATCAACAGATTTCAATTTTAAGTTTGGCTTTGTTAGCAATTTAGTGTTTAACGATAGGCAAGTCACTTCCACTCTCTAAGCTTTAGTTTCCTCATCTCTTACTGGAGATGGAGAGGAGAACTTTTAAAACTTATCACTTTTTTCCCTTTTAATTCCCTGTGTTCTCTCATTTTGGGTCATGGACCCTAGGATATGGTTGCATTTTTAATTATTAGAAAGAAAGAATACTTTTGGTACCTTAAATTTACTGTGACAGACTATCCTGTACAGTAGGTACCTCATTTATTGTTAGTGCATTCATGGATAAATATTACCTTTTATCTGAGCTAATAAATATATTAGTAAAGTATCATTTTTTAAAAAGCTGTTGAGAATATATGGGTGTTGAGAAGCTAGGGGTGTACTCAAGGACAGAAAACACTTAGCATGTACTAGGCCCTGAATTCAATCCTCAACACCACAAATAGCAGCAGTAAAAATGTGGAAGTTTAATTGAAAGGTATTTTTGCCTAAAGGATGGCCTGTGTTTAGCAAATCTAAATTTGCTCTGTCCTGGACAAATATATAAAGAAGAAAACTCCTGGACCTATTTTAAGAAGTCTTCTGTTATACATCACCAACTTTAGCAATTAAGAATTTCTGGTCTGTCTTGCTTGATAACTTGTACCTTCATCCCTTTGTTTTGAAGCAAAATTTAAAAAAAAGAATTATTGCAATACAGTCTAGCAATAGACATGTTAATCTAAGTGAAGCGGAATTTTTTTATATAAATGTATT